AGGAGGAGGAGGAGGAGGAGGAGCAGGAGGACCACTGTACGCCCAAGACTCATCAATGATGTTGCAAGCAACCTTCCCTCCAAGTTCTCTATTCATAGGACCCTATAAGGATCTGCTTTGGATGAGGAGGAGGAGGAGGAGGTGGAGAGGAGGAGGAGAGGAGGAGGAGGAGGAGGAGGAGAAGAAGGAAGGCCGGCGATGGGCTGGGCGAGGGGCACGAGGGCGCCGCCCAAGATATATGATCGCGGGCTCAGGGTTCTCGGCCCCCCCCCAGAGGGGATGGATCCCAGGGTCCTCGGGCCCCCCCCCCCCCCCAGATGGGATGGGATGGGGGAGAAGGAGGAGGAGGACGAGGAGGAGGAGGGCCACAGGGGACGAGGACGAGGAGGACGAGGACGAGGAGGACGAGGAGGGCGAGGAGGACAGGGGTGGATGGGGGAGCCACCACGCCACGCCACGCCCACAGGGGGAGGGGGGGGGGGGGGGGGGGGGCATCTCGCGGGGAGGGGGGGGGGGGGGCGATGGCATTAGCATTGGGGGGGGGGCCAAACCCTCGACCATATATGGAGAGCCGTCCGCGATCCCAGAGGAGGCGGAGGAGGAGGAAGAGGAGTGGCGGGGGAGAACGAGGTACCTATACCGCTATCCTTCACTCGTTTTCCCGTTTGTTGGGCCTCCTGGGAGGCCCTCGCCGCCACCGCTGGATTCGCCTCGAATCCTTCTCAGAACTCGCCCTGGAAGAGGTCTGGGGAGTAGCAGTATCGGTACCTTTTGGTATCCCAGGAGTGGCGGAGCATGAGGAGGAGGAATGGCGGAGCAGGAATAGCGGAGGAGGAGGAGGAGGAGGAGTACTGAGGAGGAGGATTCCGGGTCCTCCTTCCCCGCCCCCCGCGGCCCGGCGAGGGCCCCTGGAAGCCGAAAGCGGCCAACAACTTTCCGTCGCGATTTGTTTTCACGACACGGGCATGTCCCAGTTCGTCCCGACCCGTCTGTGTTCCCTGCCCCCCTCCTCTAGCAGTGGCGAAGCGTCCCGGCCTGCCGATCGGCCCACCAAATCCGCCGGCCCCCTTGTGGGAACACCAGGCTGTAGGTTCGCAGTTTCCTGTACCAGTTGCAGCTTCCAGTTTCCACTGTTACAGTTTTGCTTCTTGCTGCTTACTGTCTGCTTCTTGCTACTTACTGTTCCTAGTTGGTGGACCGCGCCTGGGGGGGAGGTCCAAACCGGGCATTTTTACCACGCCCAAATCGTACTGTCTGAATTGCTGGTGTGGGTAAGCATTGACACCCCTCACGCAGATGGGCGGGGTCAGGGTCCAAAAACACAAGGGATTCGCCACATTTCTAAAATTCGGTAACACCCCTCACGCAGATCGGCGGGGTCTGGGTCCAAAAACAAAAGGGATTCGCCACATTTCTAACATTCGGTAACACCCCTCACGCAGATCGGAAGGGGTCAGGGTCCAAAAACGTATGGGATTTGCCACATTTTTGTAATTTGCTGCCACCCCTTACGCAGATCGGCGGGGTCATGCTGCACAAACATAAGGGGTTTGCAACATTTCTGACATTCGGTGGCACCTCTCACGCACATCGGCGGGGTCAGGGTTCAAAAACACATGGGAATTGTCACATTCTTGAAATTCGGTGGCACCCCTCACGCAGATCGGCGGGGTCAGGGTCCAAAAACAAATGGGATTTGCCACATTCTTGAAATCTGGCGGCACCTCTCACGCAGATCGGCGGGGTGAGGGTGCAAAAACACATTGGATTTGCCACATTTCTGAAATTCGGTGGCACCCCTCTCGCAGATCGGCGGGGTCAGGGTCCAAAAACAAAGCGGATTTGCAACGTTCTTGAAATCTGGCGGCACCTCTCATGCAGATCGGCGGGGTCAGGGTCCAAAAACACAAGGGAGTTGCAACATTTCTGAAATTCGGTGGCACACTTCACGCAGATCGGCAGGGTCAGGGTCCAAAAACAAATGGGATTTGCCACATTCTTGAAATCTGGCGGCACCTCTCACGCAGATCGGCGGGGTGAGGGTGCAAAAACAAATTGGATTTGCCACATTTCTGAAATTCGGTGGCACCCCTCTCGCAGATCGGCGGGGTCAGGGTCCAAAAACAATGCGGATTTGCAACGTTCTTGAAATCTGGCGGCACCTCTCATGCAGATCGGCGGGGTCAGGGTCCAAAAACACAAGGGAGTTGCAACATTTCTGAAATTCGGTGGCACACTTCACGCAGATCGGCAGGGTCAGGGTCCAAAAGCACATGGGATTTGCCGCATTTCTGAAATTCGGCGGCACCCCTCACGCAGATCCGTCGGGTCAGGGTCCAACAAACATAACGGATTTGTCACATTTCTGAAATTCGGTGGCACCCGTGACGCAGATTCGTAGGGTCAGGGTCGAAAAAAACAGGTCCCGCCGCTGCTTCACGGCTGCGCCCAGACCTCATGATTTAGCTTTTGCATCTCCCATTCTCCGAGACAGGGGGCCGGCGGCATGGGGCGAAGCCCTTACGGATGATGTTCTCAGAACCTTTTGGGGCCTGCACGAAGTGCTCGTCGAACATTTTTGGCTGAGACAGTCTTGTTTTGATCAATCGGCTTTACGGTGGGGGCGTTCGTGAATGACTGGGCCCAGGAGACTTCAGACCAACAAATATGAATTATTTGATAAGGGCAGCGGTGAGATTCATGGCCAAGCCTCAATTGCTGTTCCACTGGCTGCCAGACCATGCATTCCTGATCTAAGGACTCCTATTTCCATGCCCTCACTGCACGTTCTGAGAACATTGCGTCTCTTCCTCGAACCGTCTCTTGTTGCTCGAGGAACCATTGCGTGGCAGGAATGCCAGGACGGTCGGCCCCCGCTCTCGGGACGGGAACACCAGCCACGTGAGCCGATCCTCCACCCTACCCTTTCACTCATTTTCCTGCCCCATTCGCCCCCCCCCGATGCACAATCTCTGGCCCTCGGAGGGCTCGCCTCTGGGCCCCCGGCCCGCCCGCAGCCGCCGGCGGCGGCCGATGCGCGCGGCGGCGGTGCGCACGGGGGCCGCGGGCGCGGGCGCGGGCGCGGCTCGGCCTGCAGGGGCCCTCGCTGACTCGCAGAGGGTGCGCGCTCCGCGGGGAGGAGGATCGGCGAGGAGGAGGAGCAGGGGACGAGGAGGAGGAGGAGGAGGAGGAGGAGGAGGAGGAGGAGGAGGAGGAGCAGGAGGAGGAGGAGGAGGAGGAGGAGGAGGAGGACCAGCCAGCCCACGGCCCCTGCTCCGGCGCCCGCAGGCGGGGGCGCTTCGGCCACTCACAGCCGGCGTCCCCAGCCCCGAAGGCTCCCAGGCTCCGTCCGTCTGGCGGCTGCGCTTCGGCGGCGTCGCTGGCTGGACTGCCGCCTCCGTCGCCGGCGCCTCCGGCGGGGGGGGCCGCCCGCGCCGTGCCGCCGGGCCGCCCGGCCGCGCCTTCGCCTTCGCCCTCCCCTGCCCCGCCTCCCGCCGCGGCGGCGGCTCCGGCATCGCACCACTGGCCTGGGGGGGGGACGGGCACCTGGGTAGCAAGCAGCTGTCAACCCTAGCCCGCCGGGAGGTGGGGGAGGCAGACCCTGCAGCACCCCCCGGCAGCCACTGCATGCGCCGGCGCGCGCCCGGGCGCCGCGCCCCGCGGCCCCTCGGCTCCCCTCGAGCCGAAGGCTTGAGCCCAAACGGCGATGGACACACACACACAGACACAGACACAGACACAGACACAGACACAGACACAGACACAGACACAGACACAGACACAGACACAGACACAGACACAGACACAGACACAGACACAGACACAGACACAGACACAGACACAGACACAGACACAGACACAGACACAGACACAGACACAGACACAGACACAGACACAGACACAGACACAGACACAGACACAGACACAGACACACAGACACACAGACACACAGACACACAGACACACAGACACACAGACACACAGACACACAGACACACACACACACGCACACGCACACGCACACGCACACACACACCTGCCAGGTCAAGAGACCAGCCGTCAGTCACCCTGAGACCATGATGAAGCGAATTGTTGGGATTGTTATAAGATTCGATGTTTTAACTGACGCAAATGTACTTGGCGCTGGCGACGTGTAAGAAACCGACGCTGGCCGAGCTGTGCAACTGGAGTGATGAAAGAAAAGACAAAAAAGTTCGCGCTGTACAGCAGAAGTACTTTTTCACATTGGCACATGGGGGTCCTCGTTGGCCAGCGCCCCATATTCTAATCGCTGGCCCCCTCCGCGGTTGCATAACTACGAATCGCGCTTCCGGCGAGCTGCGCGCGAACGCCCCTTGGACACGGGGGTTGTCTCTACCATGGGGCCCTCGAGCCCCTGTTTCGCACCGCAAACTTTTGAATTTGCTGACTGGAAAATCGGAATGCGCCGCCACCCCCCCGCCCCGGCCGCGCAAGGAAAGGGCAATTTGCGCGCGCTTCACGCTCAAAGTGCAGCGGGGGAGAAGGGGGAGAAGAGAGACCGATGCAGCAGACGACAACTACGCGCTCGCCGCCATGCCCGTGCATTTTGAGATTGTTGTGAGATTCGCTTGTGAATTTGCTTTCGAAGCAGTCGTAGTCGTCGATGCCGCCCGTGTCCGCGGCGGGTCTGGGAAAAATAACTCCGAGGTGCCAAAGGAATGAGGAGGGCGAAGGAAGGAATTGCAAAAGGAGTGGCGAAGGAGGGGAAGAAAGGAGGC